ATAAACACTGTACAATATGAAATAATTACAAATTGATTCTGCTAAGCTACATAATCCTACTCAAGGTATGACTTAATAATTAATCACACAATATGCATAGCTTGTACCTCCTTGCTATCATGGCTTCTTACCTGGTTCCCCAGCAATTCCTACTAATTGTCTCACTATCTGTCCCTTAAAACCCAGCAGTCTTTATACAGGTAGTCCTCGACTTAGGGCAGCTCATTTAGTGGCCGCTCAAAGTTATAACAGCCGTGAAAAAGCGGACGTGTGACTATTTTTCATACGTGGCCGTTGCGGCAACCCTGGGGTCAGGTGATCTCAATTCAGATGCTTGGCCACGGACTCATATTTATGACCGTTTCAGTGTCCTCGGGTCATGGGATCCCTTTTGTCACATTCTGACAAGCAACTTCAGTGGGGAAGCCAGATTCCCTTTAGGACCACTTGGCTAACTTAACAAGAAAAGTCATAAAAATGGGGCAAAAAACTCGCGTAACCAATGTCTCACTTAGCAACAAAAATCTGGGGCTCAATTTGTGGTCGTATGTTGAGGACTACCTGTACCTCCAACTACTGTCATAATGTGCCGGTTTATTTCCTATCGCTGACCTATCTCAATGTTATAAATCAGAGGTCTCCAAACCTGGCCCCTTTAAGACTTGTGGACTTCAACTCCCAGAATTCTCCAGCCAGCTTTGCTGGGAGTTGAAGTCCACAAGTCTTAAAGTGGCCAAGTTTGGAGACCCCTGTTATAAATAATGATCTGGCACCTGGACTGAAGAATCTGCCCGATACTAAATCAGAATTTCTCAACCTTGGCAACCTTAAGAGTTATGGACTTCAACTCCCAGAATTCCCCAGCCAGCCTGGAGAGGAAGGAACAGAGCTTTGGGTCTTCTACAGGTCAAACCTATCCTTTCCCTCCTCTATCCAATCTTCCGCCAGTTTCCCTACCCAATCTTGCACCTTGGCAATGAAGAAAGCTAGAGGCAGAGGATGGAAGATCACTACTGCTCATCATGGGCAGGGGCCCCACTGCTTTGGGGCAGGCGTGGGATTCTGCCGGTTCAGACCGGTTCAGGCGAACTGGAAGTTAAATTTGCATCCGGTTTGCAGAACCAGTATTTGGACTGACTGGCTGGCCCCACCCCACATGCAGCCCATTTTAGATGCAGGTAAGTGCAGGGGCTGTGCGGAGGCTCTGGGAGGGGGAAAACTGCCTTACGGAAGTGCCAGAAGTCCAGAAACAGGCCAGTTTCCAGCTTCTGGAGGGCCTCCAGAACCTGGAGAAGGCCGTTTCTGCCCTCCCAGAGGCCCGAGGGAAGCCTCCGGACTCTGGGGAAGGCAAAAAAATGGCTCTCCTGGAAGTTCCGGTAGGCCACGCCCACTCTGGCCAGGCCCCACCCAGCAACTGGGCAGTGAACTGATTGCTGGGATTTTTGAATCCCACCCCTGCTTTGGGGTGAAGATGCCCTGAAGAATTCCACCACCCTCTGCAGTCTGGATTAAGGGCAGACTGGATGGAGAAGGCGGCAAGTGATCAGGGGTGCAGATGTGGCCAAAATCTAGGCCGAGGGTCTTCAAACTTGGCAAGTTTAAGACTTGTGGACTTCAACTCCCAGAATTCCAGAGCTAACCTGACTGGAGGAGGAATTCTGGGAGTTGAAGTCCACAAGTCTTCAAGCTGTCAAGTTTGAAGGCCTCTGATCTAGGCAGACTTTTCACAATGCCTCTTTCAGGGAATTGAAGCGTTTGTGTACACAACTGTTCCCGGAAGGACGAGAACAGGCTACACATGGATCCCATTTCCTTAGTGGAGGTATGGGAAATTTTCCTGGACAAAAAGGGAACTTATATTTTGGAGGGTGGGGGGGCTAGAGCCTTCGCTAATCTTCTTCAGAATAATCAGGTAGCCATTAATATGATTTCAATTGTTCTCCCTCGGTTGGCAAAGGCAAATTGCCACCCAATTTAGACAATATATAGCCGTACAAAAAAAAAATTGCATACGCCAAAAACTGAGAGGCAGATATGGTCCTTAACACTTCTCAACAATGGAAACACTTTAGTTCAGCGATCTCCAACCTTGGCCACTTTAAGACTTGAGGCTGAGGAATTCTGGGAGTTGAAGTCCACAAGTCTTAAAGTGGCCAAGGTTGGAGACCCTTGCTTCAGTTTACTCGATTGTCAAAGGAGGAAAGGAGCCTCCTTCCTGTTATGCAAACACTTGTATACTTTTGATTATAATCTGAGGGCAGAATTTAAGAATGTTGATTAAACAATCCTGAGCCTGCAAAGCCTCAGTGCGTTCCTTCACTTTAAAACAGGGGGTTCTCCCAACTTGGCACCTTTAAGACTCGTGGATTTCAACTCCCAGAATTCCCCAGCCAACATGGCTGGCTAGGGAATTCTGGGAGTTGAAGTCCTCAAGGCTTAAAGGTGCCAAGTTGGGAGGCTCTCGCTTTAAAAGAATGCACTGCACCTCCTGGGAACCAAATTCTGCGAAAAGCATATAGAGAGAATAGGGCTGTGCGGTACTTTGAATTCAATATCCTGAATTTCTTCAGAATATGTGATGTCTGAATCCAAGACTTATTAAAGCAGCCACATCATTAAATGGGAGGCTACCGTGGAGCGACCTCTGTAGCAGGTGTGCAATCCTGAAAAAAGATACAGTTGTATTAATGAGCCACAGAGAGGCCTCTATTTGGGTTCCTACTTACACTGAAGCAACTATTCAAGTCTTGCATAGCCATAAATCAAAACTGGACATCAGAACTCCTTCAAATTAAACCCCAAAAGCTGTGAAAAACTATGAAATTGGAGGCAGTTTACAGCCCCCCACTCACCTAATTTAAAAAAATTAGATGATCTACAAGAAGGGTCTCCAACCATGGCAACTTAAAGGAGACCTTTGATCTACAAAATACAAAACTCAAAAAAAACCCAAGAAGAAAAACCCAAAAGACAAAACAGTCAGAACATTAAAAATGTGTGGAGGTTTTTTGTTACACCTTTTTTAATGTTTTGACTGCTTAGTGGTTTTTTCTGAGTTTTATATTTTGTAATTTTAACTTTGTTCTAAATAAAAGAAAAAATATAAGTAAAAAAATATGTGACCTTAGGAGAGAGGAATTGGCACTTGTTTTCATTCGCTGCCAAATACTGTTACGTTTTTAAAAATTACCATTATATTCCTATGTACATTGAGTGAGTGCAAGCCCAATGAAACCCAATCAGGACTTACTTCCAAATAGGCACAACTATAAAATTAGGTATTTATGAAAGATGTGTGAATATCAACTTACTTTGGTGGGAAATTTTTAATTTTCGAGGCTGCTCAAGGATTTTAAATTGATTAAACCAGGAAGAAAGCAGCAGCTTTCTGGAAAGAAATGAGCACTTAAAACCATCCTGCTCAGTTGGTGATGATTGACATTTTTATCATATTTGGTTATATCAGCTCAAAAACCAGAATTTTCCCATTGTTATTTTGCAAACTTTTTTTCTGGATGAACAAGCAATTTTACAGCAATTTTGTTTCTAGTTCTTCACAATTGGGGGAAAATGGAGGAAAAGGAGGAGGAAATGGAGTGTTTTCTCCATGGCAACATTGAGAAAAAAATAGCTATAGGTCAGAATGCAAAATAACTCAGCAAATTAATTGTTGGCCAGGTTTTGCTGATTCCCTCGGACATTTGAAACTCTTAGGGTTGGAAACATTCATGGCTTTACTATCCACACATTCACCTGGGTGAAAGGTTATTGAAGTGGGAAAATAAATACTCTATCTTCCCACTAAGTGGAGTCAGAATATCCTTCTGGAGAACAAGGGATTTATGTTTTCTACAAGTAGAATCAAAAGATCTTGCCATGCTGATTCGCCTCCCGCCAATGGCTGCCAAGCTGGGATTTGTTCTCAAACTCTGAACTGGGATTGTTTGTCCTTTGTCCAACCATTGCCTTCTCTCGCTGAATCTGGCTTATTGTTGGGCTTGTCCTGACTTGGTCATTTTGAAAAGAAGAGCCTTTGACTGCCAACAGTAGCAAGGCCCAAGCTGTTCACACGGGCCATAACGTGGCTTGCAAAATAAACTGTGGCTGACAGAATCCTCTGCTGTTATATTGTTCCCCAAGGTGAGGTCCTAAGCACGTGTGGATTCAGGCTCTCATAAGCTGCCGTTAGTCCAGCTCCTGAATTTGCAGGCTGGGGGTGTGGGGTTAGAGTTAGTGACCAGCAGGTTGGGGAAATCTGAAAATCTACTGTCACTCTATGTTTCCCCTTCCCTTGTAAAGTGCTAGCAATTTTGGGCAATTTGCTTTCTGGTGCTCAGTAGAAAGTGCTAGAAGCAACGGAGAGAAACTTAAGAACGATTTACATCCCTTCTAACTCTGGAAACCACATGACGGGGTTTTTCCCCAGAGGGAAGCCTCTTGGAGGAAGTCTCCGTAGAAAGGGTGGATGCTTAAATTTACCTCCGTCGTCGCTCAATGATGGCTGTCAAAATCTGTCAGGCTGAAATCTTGAGAGGGAATGGCTGCAAAGGAACTCCCACCACACCCCCATCCCACCCCTCCCTTGTAGGGTGTCAGGGTAAGGGAAGGTCGCTCCAACTTTTCCAGCAGGTTGGGAAAAAAAAAAAACTCCAGATGCCGTTTTTTTTTCACCCCTGGGAAAACTGGGGAGGCAGCCAGTCTCCTCCTCCCCCGCCCCTCCTCCGACCGTGTGTTTCAACAGATAAGGATCCCTAAATGCCCACCTGCCCACAAAGAGGCCACCTTAAAACACTGTCAACAACACAACATGGCACGAAAGCAAAGCTCCTGAAGATGAGCTGCTCAGAGCAGCCGGCGATTTACCGGCCAGGAACACGCCGAGTCGCCTCTGAGCTTGGGGTGAGGGGTGCAGAAAGGCGGCAGGGGAAAAACCTGGGAGACCTCCCGCCGCCCCCCGCCCCTCGCACTGCTCCAAAGGCAGCAGCCCCACTGCCCCGTCTTTAATCGGACCACTCGTTCTCATCCAACTCCGAATCGTCGTCGGATTCGCTGTATTCCACCGCAATCCTTCGGGAGAGGATCGTGGCCACGTCGTTCCCCACCGGCTCCTTCTTGGCTTCCTGTTCCCATTGCTCCTGGACTTTGCGCAGCTGGATTCCTGGGCGGGGGGAGGAAGGGAAAGGAAGGTTTTTTTCTCCAAGTCAGCCTTGGCACCAGCTGGTCTTAGACTGGCTTTAGCCCTTCCGCGTGACGCTTTGCTCTAATGCAGGGCTCTCCAACCTTGGCCACTTTAAGACTTGTGGATTCAACTCCCAGAATTCCCCAGCCAGTTGGCTGGGGAATTCTGAGAGTTGAATCCACAAGTCTTAAAGTGGCCAAGGTTGGACAGCCCTGATCTAATGCCAGAGTTCTCAACTTGGGCCCTAGGATATTTCAAGGGAGCCTAAGATAAAAACATGTAACAGGGATTGGGTGTGGGGTGCAGAGCTCATGCCAAGAGGGCCACAGAAAAGCAAAGTGTGTTGTGAAACTGCAAATACTTGGTTGCTTTCTTGCAGATATTTTATTAGCCACACTAGCACCGATGATGATGTTACCTATTTTGGGTCATGAAAGAACCGAACTCAGAGAGCACCACCAAGCAGGCCTCATTTAAACCCTGAGCTATTCTCCTTTATTACTGTGGCGATCAGAAAAATGCACCGGTTGCATGTTCCTTAGCTGAGAAGAGCTCTGGACAAAGGAGGCCACAGGAGAAAAGCCAAGGTTGGAATTGGATCAAGAGCCACAAAAATAAATGGTTGAGAAATATTGATCTGGCGCCTTTGTTGAGAGCTTCTACGTGCCTTTGAAACCCAACCCTTAAATTTCGTGGAGAAGAGGCCTTTCCACCACTCCCTTCAAGGTGTTCACTAACTGTAACAGGATCACCAGCAGGTCTCTCTCAGCTCGAGTGCTGGTGTTGAAGATTGATCCATTGACCAACCCCACCCAAGGACGATGGGACCCTCAACATGGCAAAGCAAAGAAGGCAACTGTGAGCCTCTAGTTCAGGAAGAGAGGGCACTGGATCTCCATCTGCAGCCAACTTGCCATGGCCAATGTGCTGCAAGAAAACTCACCGCAGGAGAAGAGCTACACTAATACCCCCCAAAAATGGTGGGATAGAATCAGTAAAGAAAGGATGTGAAAGGAAGGACAAAATGAAATGTGAATGACAACAATTAAAAGAATGTTTTAATTATTTTAAATAATTAAATTGAATGGTTGTGTTGTCCTGTGGCGAGTTGGCTACAGTGAGTTGGCTATAGTGAGTTGGCCATGGTGAGTTGGCTACAGTGAGTTGGCCATGGTGAGTTGGCTACGGTGAGTTGGCTACGGTGAGTTAGCCATGGTGAGTTAGCCATGGTGATTTGGCCATGGTGAGTTGGCTACAGTGAGTTAGCCATGGTGAGTTGGCCATGGTGAGTTGGCTATGGTGAGTTGGCCATAGCAAGTTGGCCATGGCAAATTGGCTATGGTGAGTTGGCCATGGTGAGTTGGCTACAGTGAGTTAGCCATGATGAGTTGGCCATGGTGAGTTGGCCATGGCGAGTTGGCTATGGTGAGTTGGCCATGGTGAGTTGGCCATAGCAAGTTGGCCATGGTGAATTGGCCATGGCGAGTTGCCTATGGTGAGTTGTCCCATTCTGCCCCTCCGTTTGGGAGGCGGGATGATGTCCTCCTAAATTGGCTTCCTTTGCCCAATGCTTCCTGGCAGAAGAAGAGCAGGGCCCCCAAAGTGCATCAGCTCAAACCCTGCAGGTCTGTCCCAAGCCCAGGCAAAAGCAAAAGGTGCTGACTTACCCCGGCGGATGGCAGCAAGCAGGTCACTCCTGGCATCGGTCATGGGGATCAGGGGCACCGGCGGCTGCTGCTTCCGGGAATCCACCGTCAGGGCAGGCGGGGAGGCTGAGTGTGCAGGGGAGGCCGAGATAGTGGGGGGTCCAGGGGGCGGAGGGGGAGGGGCAACAGGAGGTCCCATGGGGCCAGCCTGGGGGGGAGAGGCAGAGTAGGGGCAGGGCATGGCAGGGGGAGGGGTAGGCGCGTAGGTGGCATGGCTAACGGAAGGGGCAGCGTTTGGTGCCATGGCCGAAGGGGCGGAGATGGGGCTGTCGAAGGCAGTTTGAGCGGAAGGGATGACTGGGGGTGGCGGCGGAGGAGCAGGTGGCACAAAGTAGTCCGCCATTGGCACTGGTTGAGGACTGCAGAGAGAGGAGGAGAGGTAAGGAGGTCAGCAGAAGGCAGGACAAGAAACAACAGATGGAAACTAATGAAGGAGAGAAGCAACCTTTGGAATTAAGGAGAAACTTCCTAACAGTGAGGACAAGTAACCAGGGCAACAGCTTTGCCTCCAAATGTTCTGGATGGTCCATCACTGGAGGCTTTCAAGAAGAGACTGGACAGCCATTTGTCTGGAATGGCACTGGGTTTCCTGCTTGAGCAGGGGTTGGACTAGAAGACCTCCAAGGTCCCTTCCAACTCCGTTATTCTATTTCCTGGCGTCAACTGTTGTTGCTTGACTTTGCTGTATGTACAGTTCGACATGGGATACTTTGAAGGCCTCTGAAATCTCCCCGAATTTCTAAGAACTTTTCCAACACAGGTAGTCCTCAATTTACAACAGTTCGCTTAGTACCATTACAATGGCAGTAAAAAAGGGACTTATGACCATTTTTCACACTTACGACTACTGCAGTATACCCCCCCACAGTCACACGATCAAAATCCAGATGCTTGGCAACTCACTCGTATTTATGATGATTGCACTTAACAACCATATTTCTAACTTAACAACTGCAATGATTCACTTAACAAATGATCAAGAAAGGTCTCAAAAAGGGGGAAAAACTCACTTAACAAATGTCTCAGGTAGCAACATAAATGTTGGGCTCCCTTGAGGTCGTAAGTTGAGGACTTACCTGTACCTTAGAAGCTCTGCCATTGTTGAAGGCATTGAGGAATTCGGTCAGGAAATCTCACTGAAACAATGACTCAGCAGAACACAGGTTGCCTCATAAAAACTAGCCTGAGCCGACTAAATTCCTTTCCTCCCTTCACTTTTGGGTCGCCCATTTCCTTGATGTCAATTTAGAGAGAAGCTTCTTCAGGCAAGATGGTTCAAGCTTCCTGAATCTATTGAGTGTCCTTTAAAGCTTTTTGCTTTCCTGCAACCGCTGTGTTTTTATTCCACCTAATCAATGAATGCAGTTCTGTTCTAACATTTGCTGCTTTCGTCTCTAGGCAAGGAAAATAAAGGTCAGGGGCTGTTTCTATGCTCACATGATTCAAGGACGATTGCTTATCTTAAAAGGCAGGGCTGTCTTTTGCTGCCCACAAGATAATGAGGTCAACTCATAAAACATTCCTATGCCTGTCTTAGTAGTTGCCATTGAAAAGGGGGTGGTGGGGTGGAAGGAAATCTGGAAGAGGAGGGCAGCAGTTAGGAAGCAGAAGTACGTTCCAACTCTTCTCTTTAAAAGGTTGTAACTAAATTACTGGAGCTTTTGCCCGTGAATGTATTTACGTGGAGAATGTGAATGAGGATACCCATCCCATGAACGTGCTCAATGGGAGAACCTGGTTTAGGGGAAACAGGGTCACAAGGGAGTGTAAATGACGTAGAACAGAGTTGGTTTCATAAAGGGCAGTGCCAGTATGTCGCCTCTAATGGATCCTTTGAAGTTTTTTGGAGTTTGGCTCGAGAATCATGATTTAATTAGGGCGATTGCTAGAATCCTGACAGCAAGCCAACTCTGGCCTAAGTCATTTACAGTCCCCTGTGACCCTGTTTCCCTCCTCTCCCCTGGGTGTGTCATAAATCAGATTCTCCGATTGAGCACGTTCCAGGGCTGGGTGTCATCATTCACATTCTCCAATTAAATATATTCCTGGGCAAAAGCTCTGGTAGTTTAGATACAATCTTTTAAAGATAAGAGTTGGAATGTACTTTGGCTTCCAAACTCCTGACCCTTAGACCCGGGCTCTCCAACCTTGGCCACTTTAAGACTTGTGGACTTCAAAACAAAGCTGGCTGAGGAACTCGGGGAGTTGAAGTCCACAAGTCTTAAAGTGGCCAAGGTTGGAGGTCCCTGCCTTAGACGATGTTCTAACCAAAAAAGCCAAGTGTTTTTCCTGCAAGAAGCCATTTCTCTCAATATCATTTGTAATTCAAACCCGTGCTTTGCATTACAATATCTCTTCACTACCTTTAAATAAGAGGAGGAAAAGTACTGCTTGAAAGGCCTCCAGGAAAAGGTTGGACAGCCGTTTGTCCAGGATGGAATAAAGACCATCTTGGAGTAGAAGACCTCCAAGGTCCATTCCAGCCCTAGTATTTTCTGAAATCCACCACGCATTTTTGCCTATGGCAGAGGCCCCCAATCCTCGGGCTGTGGCACATGAAGGGGCTATGGCCTCTTTGGAACTGGGCCGCGTGAGTGGCTGGCAGGAGCGTGCATGCACTGTGCATGCAGCTCATCTTATGTGAATGGCAGCACACAAGCATGCAAATATCCACTGGCCCACTGCTTGTGCAAGTTGAGCTATGCCCTTCCCCTTCATGCAACCCAATTCGAAATAGGCCATGACCCGGGGAAATGGGGTGAGCCTGGAGATTGAGGGACCCCTGTATGATGACCCAAAGGGGTGCGGCAGAAAGGCAACACAGTCAGATAACCAATAAGAGTCCCTTTATTAGCTCCAACTTTGCTCCCAATGTCCTGGTTACCTTCTGGGCTGGAGAAAAACTCTCCCAGGAACAGCCTTTGGCTGCAGAGAATCAAATTCAAATCTCTGTCAACCAAAACTTTAACTATAAGTGCAATCAAGGCAAGAGGAGGTAATTAACCCAGGAAGTGAAGGAACGGCCGTAATTCAACATGGTTGGGAAGATGCCAGGAATGCAGATACCCAAAATCAACACAAGATAAACTTGCATTTGCTCCAAGCAGCTGCCTTACTCAGCTTGCATCTCTTTTAAACTATCTTCCCAGGTGTGGCTAATGAAGGGAATCAGGGCCCTTTCCTCCCCCATAAACCATGCAACCCATGTTGCTCCCTTCTTGGTTCCTCCCTGCATGCCCAAGGATGAAAAGGGATCGGCCTGGGTCTTCCTCTGAACTCCCTCTCCCGTGCTCTGCCCAGCCGGGCTTTGCCCTTCCCCAGTTTCTTCCACACCCAACAGGGCCACATTCCCACTCCCTGCCACCTCTTGAGCTTCCTCCTCAGATTCAGACTTGCGACAGGGGCACGAAACCCTGGTCTATGGCATCAATTGAGGCTGCTGTCCATGGTCCTGAAATCCTATTTGTTGTTGTTTTCTTCAGATATTTAGCATGGGATTGATGTTTTATTGAGAATATAGTATAATACAATTGGAAGGGACCTCAGAGGTCATCTAGTCCAACCCCCTGCTTGAGCAGGAAGCCCTACATCATTTCAGACAAATGGTTGTCCAGTCTCTTTTTGAAAGCCTCCATGGTGCACCCAGAACGTCTGAAGGCAAACTATTCCACTGTTTGGTTGCTCTCACCATTAGGACATTTCTCTTTAGTTCTAGGTTGCTTCTCCAATAAACATAAATTTATGCCATGGTTGGCCATGGTCAATGCTATGCATATCAGAACTGTAGCATCGACATGGAAATACAAAGGGGCAGGAGGCACTTGGACTTTCTCCTTTTTATGCAAGCTCACCTTCAAGCCCTGCTGACTACCTAGTATTCCGGGGTGGGGGAAGAGCCTCAAGGGCAAAAGGAAGTGTGTCTATCAAGGCCCTGCTTAGTTAGGGGGGACCTGAGCTTCGTCCAGGAAGGCAACTTGAGAAAACATTTCAGACAAGCTCCTCCCTCATTTGCACAAAGATAGAGGGAAGCACATTCAGATTTGCAAGAGTTGGTTACTATAGCACTAGCACTTAGACTTGTATACTGCTTCACGGTGCTTTGCAGCCCCCCTAAGCGGTTTACAGAGTCAGCCTCTTGCCCCCAACAATCTGGGTCCCCATTTTAGCCACCTTGGAAGGATGGAAGGCTGAATCAACCTTGAGCCTGATGAGATTCGAACTGCCAAATTGCAGGCAGCCAGCAGGCAGCAGAAGTAGCCTGCAGAACTGCCCTCTAACCACTGTGCCACTGTGGCTCCTAGCTTTACAATAAAAGTGACTAAGATGTCATTGGTTTATTAGTCTGGCCTACCTCATAGATTTTGTGCAGTTTTCTCATCAAGATCTACAGGATTGAAAGTGACCGGCCCAAAGTCACCCTTCTCATCTGCACAGAACTACAACCTATGCTCTCCCAGTTTCTAACCTGGTGCTGCAACTGCTACACCAAACTAGTCCTCTTCCTTTACATCAGGTGGACCTAGTGGGGGTCCTATCACTCCACAACTTCACCTGGACAACCTCCAATAAGATGGAGAGAGGATGTGCATAAAGACCTCAGGTGCCAAGGGGAGTATTACAATGAAGGGCCGAGAGAGATATAAGCATCTCTTGAAGTGGACATCAACACAATGCAAAGGAATAAAAGTGAAAGTGAAAGTGCAGTTCTTGACAGCCTTATTGCTTTCCTAGAAGTCTTATTTTCCCTCCTAGAATTGACTTGGTCTTAAAGCACAATTGGTAACGCCAGCTTGTTAGGTGAGCTTCAGCTTATTATGTGAGGGTCAACTACATTTACGGATGCTTTTAAATTATTCTGTCCTTAATGGGGAGAGTCCACATTAGGTCCTACATCCTTGTAATTGTGTCTTGTTTAGCAAGGAAAGGAACCTCCCATGCATTCTCCTATATTCTCCTTCCCTTTTGGCCTGGGGGCATCTCTCCATAGCAAAAAGAACAGTTTTGATTGGGAAGGAACCAATAATTGAAATTCTGCTGGGTAAAAGACATGGAATAATTAAGGGGCAATTAGAGGGTCCCATTTATCAATACTGACATGACTACACTGAAAGGGAACCCATTAGAAGCGGAAGGACCAGAGAGAAAGCTGCCAGTTGCAATTGTGCAATAATAGAACATGAAATTATTTGTGGAATGTGAGACACTTTTTAATTCCATCAAAAGGAACGCAGAAACGCAGTGCCTCACCAGCACTTAGCATAGTAGAAGTCCCGTGAGAAATTTGTAGATTGGTTTTATTAAAATGTGAGACATTTCCTCAGCCAACCTAAGGAAATAATTCACATTTTAATGAAGGCTCTTGTGTTCAAATGTCCTAAATCTATCTGCCAATGATACACAAACTTTGCGAGGCAGCAGTTCATTTAACAAAAACAATAACCACCCTTAAGTTGTAAAAATTCTCATATTGGAGAAAATGGGCGTAAAAATGTACAAAATTAAAGAAACATTAGCAGAAAATCACACTGTGTTGTGGAAAGACTTTCCAAAAGTGCCTGCTCAAAGACGATAGATAACATGCGTCATGTTCAAACAAAACGGTATAAAAATCCCTAACAGGTTTGGTGCCAATTGATGTGGAAACTGAAGGGAACAAATTTATAATAAGAACAATGAGAAATAATCAAATGCCATCATTCTGCTTTGCCTTGGGACACAAAAAGGCTGGTTTAAAGGTTCCCCATGGCAACGGCTTCTCGGCTGAGAAATCCCTGCCTTGGCAGTGGGGGAAATGTACATGCTTGTCAATTCACTCTGCGCCAAAATGCGCTGCACTTGCTAAGATGTGGCATTCACCATGCAAGATGCCGCGGTGGGATTCCAAATTGCGTGCTACTGGTTCTGCTCGCTTCAAACGTGATCAAGGATCACTTCACGTGTGTGTGCAGCACCCAAAGATCGCCCTCGGTGAACTGAGCTGTTTCTTAGCTCAGCGGAGGTGTGACAATCTACTCTGCTGTGCAAATCAGCTCGGCTAATAAACAAGGGAATAGAGGAGAGGTAACTGCGGGGGCAGGTGGGTGGGGCCAGTCAGAGGTGGTATTTGCTGGTTCTCCAAACTGGTTAAAATTTCCACTACTGGTACACCAGAACCAGTCTGAACCAGCTGAATGCCACCTCTGAATAGGTCCCTGTCTGAAGGCAGAGGAAGCTGATAGAGCCGTGATGGTGAATCTACAGCACACATGCCATTTGTGCAGGCACGCGAGCCCCAGCCAAATTTACCCACACTGCACATGCACGCACCTCCCAGCAGATTTCTGGCTCATTTGAGGCCATTTTTGCCCTCCCGGAGGCTCGAGGAAAGCCTTTGCAGCCTCAGGAGGCTGAAAAATGGGCCTTTCAGAAATACCGGAAGTGCCTGTTTTCAGCCTCCGGAGGGCCTCTGGAGCCCGGGGGAGGCTGTTTTCACCCTCCTGGAGGCTCGAAGGAAGCCTCTGCAGCCTTGGGAGGCCGAAAAACAGGCCCATTTCAGCACTTCCAAGGCGCGCACATGCGCAGTGCAGGTTAAGAGGATGGGGGGGAGGTGTTGCACATGCAGGTGCAAGGGGAGCAGGGCGCATTGCATTGTGTGTGCCAGCACATGCATGCTTTCGGCACACCACAACAAAAAGGTTCACCATCACTGCGACAGAGAAAATCACTCCCATGTGTTGACTACAAGTAGCTCTCAACTTACAACAGTTGGCTTAGTGACCGTTCAATGTTCAACGGTCCTGAAAAAAAGGGACATGAGCATTTTTCACACTTAACGACCATTGCAGCATCCCCATGGTCATGAGATCAAAATTCAGATACTTGGTCACTCACATTTATGACGGTTGCAGTGTCCTGGGGTCATGGGATCACCTTTTGTGACAAGCAAAATCAGTGGGGAAGCCAGATTCGCTTAATGACCGGGTTCCTAACTTAACAACTGCAGTGATTCACTTCCCAACTATGGCAAGAAAAGTCCTAAACTGGAAATTTCATTTAGCAGATGTTTCGCTTAGCAACAGAAATGTTGGGCTCTGATGTAGACATCAGTTGAGGACTACCTGTGTTTTCATGAAGGGGACAGAGCCTCGTTGATGCAAATAGATATGTCCCTATACAGTATGGCCTCTGGCTAACAGCTCTGGTTGGGGACGGCTAGAAGATTTCCAGGATTATGGGCTAAACCAGGGCTCTCCAACCTTGGCCACTTTAAGACTTGTGGACTTCAACTCCCAGAGTTCCTCAGTCAGCAGAGCTGAACTCTGGGAGTTGAAGTCCACAAGTCTTAAAGTGGCCAAGGTTGGAGACCCTTGGCTAAACAGCACTAGATACAAATCTCCCACTACCTCAGTTGGCTGAAATACACCAAGTGGGGATAGGCTTCCTTTGCTGCCATCCAAGAGGCATTCTTTAATTTCTCAGGACCTTTGATCTTCCATCAAGGGATATCACTCAAGGTCAGGGTTGTCTCAACTTGGCAACTTGTGGACTTAAAGCTATGCTGGCTGGGGAATTCTGGGAGTTGAAGTCTACAGGGCTTAACGTTGCCAAGTTTGGAGACCCCTACTCTAGATGGGGAAGAAATGGAGGCAGTGACAGATTTTCTTTTCCTGGGCTCCCAATCACCGCAGATGGGGACTGCAGCCAAGAAATTAAAAGGCGCTTGCTCCTGGTGAGGAAAGTTATGGCAAATCTAGACAGCATACTAAAAAGCAGAGACATCCCACTGCCAACAAAAGTGTGCATAGTCAAGGCTATGGTTTTCCCAGTTGCAATGTATGGCAGTGAAAGTTGGACCATAAGGAAGGCTGAGCACCAAAGAATGGAGGCCTTTGAACTCTGGGGCAGGAGGAGAACACTCCAGCGAGTCCCTTGGATGGCAAGGCAATCCAACCGGTCAATTCTAGAGGAGATCAACCCTGACTGCTCTTTAGAAGGCCAGATCCTGAAGATGAAACTCCAATACTTTGGCCAGCTAATGAGAAGGAAGGAGGACTCACTGGAGAAGAGCCGAATGCTGGGAAAGACTGAAGGCCATAGAAGAAGAAGGGGATGGCAGAGAAGGAGGTAGCTGGATGGAGGAGGAGTGAGCTGAAGGAGTTGGCGTGAGCTTAAATGGTCTCCAGAAGATGGTAGAGGACAGGAAGGCCTGGAGGAATGTTGTCCATGGGGCCATGATGGGTTGGACGCGACTTCACAACTAACAACAACACTCTAGGTGTCATACTTTCTAATGGTAATTTCAGGGCACTGAATCTTATTTGGGGCCCATCCATAGTTACACAGCAAAGAAAGGGATTATAATCTGCTTTCTCAAGTCAACTTCTAGAGTCATTTGCACCACATTTCCGTAGTTCAGGAAAGAGGCATTCGACTCTTCCTGCTTAAGGGGACAGTCATGACAAACAGACAAAAGAAAGTAAGCCAGAATCCATACCCATAGTCCTTGATTATCTGAGGTCGTGGTCCATTTAACATGGTCTCGGATGGCTGTGGCACATGGGGCTGCTGTACCCGGTTGAGGCTGTTCTGCCGGCTTCCCACTGCTGAAGGCCTGAAGATCTGATCCTGGACCTGGGTGGCCACCAGCACCACCTCTTTGTTCTCGGGGGCCAGATGTGTGGCTGGAGCCATCATCTGTTGGCCAGGATGGTTAGGACTGGCTGGGTAGGAATGATCAGCTACATCGGAGGCGTAAGATCTGTTGCAGACAAAAACACCAAGAGGTTGTACACCTGGAGGGCAGGGATGGAGGGACGAGCAGAGGATCCAATTGATGGGAGGGATTTGATGGTATCTATCACCTCTTGGAACCAAGGGTTTGGTGTGCCAAAAGCCGTACCCTTGAAATGTGCAAGCATGTAGTAGTAGTAGTAGTAGTAGTAGTAGTAGTAGTAGTAGTAGTAGGAGGAGGAGGAGGAGGAGGAGGAGATGAAGGTAGAGATGGGGGAGGAGGAGGAGGAGGAAGAGGAGGTGGAGAAGGAGATGAAGATAGAGATAGAGATGAAGGAGAAAGAGGAGGAGGAGGTGGGGAAGGAGATGAAGATAGAGATGGGGGAGGAGGAGGAGGAAGAGGAAGAGATGAAGGAGAAGGAGGAGGA